TGGCGCTGTGGCTCAAGTGGTAGAGCGCTAGCCTTGAGCTGAAGAGCTGAGGGACAGTGCCCAGGCCCAGAGTTCAGGCCCCACGACCAGACCCCCCCTCAAAAATATATATATATATATTTATATTTATTTATTTATATATATATATATATAGTTTTTTTTGAATCCTAGGTAAATCTAGATCATTGTAGGAGAAATGATCTGACCAATCTCTAAAGCTATTGCCTAGCTTTTTGTTTCTACAAAAGACTTTTATCCTAATATACTTTTCTACCTATAGAGTCTCTCAGAGAAATCAAGGAAAGTGTTCCGAATATTCCGGCAGTTGGAATCATTATCCTCATCCTGAAGATATACCAACCCTTGCAAGAGAAATGGATAAGAGAGACACTGAAACAGAGTCAGAATTCCTGTTTGGTCAGCCCATGCTGTTTTTCTCCATCCTGGCTTAACCACCAGGAGCCCCTGCATTCACAAAGACAGTGGATGTCAGTAGTTGTCTGCACAAGTGAAAGGCAAGTCGCCCCACGGGGATGTGGACAGGGAAGGTAAGCAAGCTGTATTCTGTGGAAAGACTGGCTTTAGAAAAGCAGATGGAAGACCCAGATGGCAACATCCAGTCTACACTGTAGTGCAGCAGTGGTATAAGGACTCTTATATCCCAGGAATATGAGTGTATTAATAAAAGGTTTCTTACAGTTCTTACTGCTAGAGTATTGTTTTCCCTTAGTCTAGTGGGTTGCACACTTCAGAGGAACAGTAAACAAAGCTGAATTTTGGGTTTTCCAAGTAGCTGCAAACATGAAGACTTACTTGTAATTCTGGTTAAGGAGGTATAGTGTTTTTTAAGCCTCAGTAGGTTTTTTGTATTGGTTTGATTTTTGGAGATAAGGGTCTCAGGGACTTTTCTTCCCAAGTTTGCTTCAAACTCTGATTCTCAGATCTCAGCCCCTTCAGTAGCTAGAATTACAGGCATGAAGCCGGGCGCCGATGGCTCACGTCTATAATCCTAGCTGCTCAGGAGGCTGAGATCTGAGGATTGTAGTTCAAAGCCAGCCCGGGCAGGAAAGTTCATGAGACTCTTACCTCCAATAAACGGCTAGAAAACCAGAAGTGGTGCTGTGGCTCAAGCGGTAGAGCGCTAGCCTTGAGCTGAAGAGCTGAGGGACAGCGCCCAGGCCCAGAGTTCAGGCCCCACGACCAACAACAACAACAACAAAAGAATTACAGGCATGAGCCCCTGGTGCCACCTCAGTCTTTTTTTTGGGGGGGGGGTCCAGTCGTGGGGCCTGAACTCTGGGCCTGGGCACTGTCCCTCAGCTCTTCAGCTCAAGGCTAGCGCTCTACCACTTGAGCCACAGCGCCACTTCCGGCTTTTTTCTTTTTGTTTATGTGGTGCTGAAGAATCGAACCCAGGGCCTCATGCATGCAAGGCAAGCGCTTTACCACTGAGCCACCTTCCCAGCCCAGTCTTATTTTTTTTAGGGGGTAAAATACAAGCTTCATCCAGTAGACCAGGCTGTGCAGAGGCTATTTCCACATTCTTTTCCTAAAGGTCTATCCTGCCTAAGATTCTTTTTTAACTTGCATAAATTAGTTGCACAAAGGGGCTTTTATTATGACATTTCCACACATGCATATGACATACCCCATCAGCCTCACCACCAATATTCCTCTCCCTTATTCCACTCAAAACAATTTCAACAGGTTTTATTGTTCTGTCCATATAAATGTATATAAAATACTTTGACCCTAATTCCGCTTCCTTCACCCGCTTCCTTGGGCCTTCCCCACTCCTGATGATACTCTTCCCCAAATACAGCCTGTTTCACTGTCCTGTCATTTTTTTTTAGTGTATACTAATTGTACAAAGGGGTTTCATGGTAATTTACACGTACATATGTTATGGCTCAGTCAGATTGACCTCTGTTGCACTCTCACCAACTGGAAGTATCTTTCAGTCACTGTAATTCTGTGATTTTTTTCTTCTTCTAACTCAAAAACCCGAGTCTTATCTCTCCTAATAGAAAGGTTCGGTAAAAATACCTCATGGTATACTAGTATCCAGAAGGGGATCTTTCCTGGCTAGCTTTCCTAGACTGAGTAAATGGAGCATTTTCTTGCTCTGGGACAATGGCAGCTACCTCCAAGTACCCTCTCCACTCTCAAATCCCTTCCACCCCATCCCACTTAGCAGCAAAACAGCTGCATGTATAGCTTGCCCAACAACAAAAGTGCAGACATTTCCTCCTCCTCAGCTTTCCTCTCTATTTTTAGCTGTGTTGCTATTCTGGATTCTCTGTGGCTTTATATAGCCATCATCTGGCCAGCCAAAACCATGCCCTAAGACAAAAATGCTGGACATGGGCCCTTTAATGAGGGACCCACCTTTCCATCTTTAGCCTGTGGTCTCTCCTTCCTCACTGCCCTTCTTAACAGTTATGGCCATCGCTTCTCTCCACGCTGCCCCTCTCATTCAGTTGACTGTTACGTAGCTGAAACCAGTAGAGGGAAAGGGGTCATGCAAAGGCCTCTGGGTCATTTATCAGAAGACTTAATGCACTGTAAACTATTACAGTGCCAACTTTCTGTGCTCACTTCTGTCCAGCCATTTAGCACTATCCAGGTAGCAAATGTGTGGGAACAGACTGTTCTCACCGTGGGGCAGCAGCAACCCTCAAGAGGTTGGAGGTAAGAACTTGACATGGGGTGCAAAGAAGGAACTCAAGACGCTCCTCCAAGGAAGGAAACCAGGATTGCAAAGACTGAAAGTCTTTTTCAAGCCAGGAACCAGTGGCTCACACTTACAATCCTTGATACTCAGGAGACTTAGATCTGCAGATTGTGGTTTGAGGCCAGCTTGGGCAGAAAAGTTTGTTGGACTCCATCACTAATCAACAGAAAGCCAGACTGGGGTCATGCTCAAGTGATAGGGCAGGACACAGGACTGGCACAAAAAATAAAAACTGAAAGTTTCTTTTATCTTTACAGTTAAACAAACTGTAGAATCTGTAACCTAGCAAAGATTTCTCATAACTTGATACTCTCTTCTTCCCCAGTATTTCAATTTTACACTTCGTTTCTTTTGTTGTTTCTGTATCTTTGATAGAAGATAGTTGAGGAACAATAGCAATAGAAAAATAATAATGTTTTTGTTGTTTTTTTTTAAGCTAGTACTGTGGCTCTACCTCAGGGCCTGGGTGTAATCCCTTTTCACTTAAGACTGGCATTACCACTTGAGCTACAGCTTCATTTCTCGCTTTTGGGTGGTTAATTGAAAATAAGAGTCTTACAGACTTACCTACCTGTGTTGGCTTCTAACTATGATCCTCAAATCTCAGCCTCCTGAGTAGCTATGATTCAGGCATAAGCTACCAGTACCCAGTATGATCACCCTTAAATTCCTCCTTTATGAATATAAGAAAGCATGTGAAACTAAGTGAGATCTCTTTTGTGATGTTAAAGGAAATGTGACTTACTAGATGTCAAGTGGCTAGAAAATCTCCTTTCCTGAGGACTATGTCATCTCTCAACTCTTCAAAAATCTGGAGACTAAGTCCACAATAGGTTACTTGAAAGTAAAAGGACCAATAGGCTGGGCGCAGGTGGTTCTTACCTGCAGTGCTACCTTCTCAGGAGGCTGAGATCAAAGCCAGCCTAGGCAGGAAAGTCCATGAGACTCTAGCCTCCAGCCAAAAGAAGCTCAGGGACAGCTAGCTCCCAGTCCCAGAGTTCAAGCCCCCAGGACCAGGGGAGAAGGGGTGAAAGGAGAGGATCCAGTAGTATTGCTAGCAGTACCTGCCACAACCACTAGGTGCCGCCAGTGTCCCGTACTTATTTTCTGTGGATTGCAGAAGCAAAACAAACATTGCCCCTGGACTTTCCTACCTGATCACCAGCAAATCAACAGTGGTGAGCAGCATAGCACTCCCTTTTTCAAATGGCTTCTCATTTTAGCATCATTCTTTGTCTTTTTTTTTTTTTTGCCAGTACTGGGACTTGAACTCAAGGCTTTACACTGTTGCTTGGCTTTTTCTGCTCCAGGCTGTGGCTCTACCACTTGAGCTGAGCTAAGTGCTACTTTCAACTTTTTCCTGGTTAATTGGAGAGAAGAGTCTTTGATTCTCATTGCTCAGCCTCCTGAGATAGATGTGAGCCACCTGTGCCCTGCTTGTCGTTATTTTGTTGCAGGTCTTGCTTCCTAGCCCAGCTTCAATTCACCTGCTCAAGGCTTAGGCTGCCTGGTTTGCATTGTCAATTAGACCAGTTACCTGGGGGAAAAAAAAAAACATACAAAAACAAAAAGCATTAAGGCATCAGTGAGGATGGGGAGAAATGGAGAGAATGGATATTTATTAAAGAGCCAGGGATGAAAACTAACCTTCCTAAAAGTTCAGGGTTAAGACCCAGCATCTTGGAATAGAGGTACAAATTGCAAGGTTAAAAACCTGGCTGACTGGGAAGGCAGCTGAAAAAGGAAACCAGGGGAGATAAGCCACTGGCAGCCACCTCTGCAGGCAAAACAGTGCTGAGGCAGCCATCCCAAGGTGTCATCTTTGTGTCCCGCCACCACACAGCGCTCAGGCTGGGTCACTCCAAGGCCAATCTACAAAATGAGGCATGCCAATTATGAAGCTTGGATTGCATGTTCATGGGGCCACAGGCCAGAGCGGCGTGTCATCCCAGTACAGTGCCAAACAGACCCAGCCGGTGACCCCTCTGCTTGTGAGCATTCCACAGGCTGTGACTAATGCTAATTAACCCTGACTCACAGCAGCCCTTAGGCACAAAGAGGTCATTATCTTTACTGGATCAAGTGGGGAAACTGAGGACTAGAGTGGGGAAGCATCTTTGTTCCATTAGTCAGTGGCATCTGGAGCTGTTTTTTAGCATTCCACCCTAATGTCCAGGAAGCTGCCTTGATAGTCAGGAGAGTAAATGTTTCCAGTAGGGATGACCAGATGAAAGAGAGGGACCTGGGCTCAAGGCCTTCTCCAAGCTCCTAGAGCTAGAGCTGTAGAAATAGAAACACAGTTGCAAAGATAATGGCCAAATTCCCCTGAGTTCAGAGATGAGGAAGCAGAAGGCCTGAGCAGGGGAGTGATAGCCAAGGTCACATGGTAAGAGTGGCCTAGCCAGGGCTAGGGTCCTGAGACTCCATACTCCAGCTCCCCTTCCTGCTCTTGGTCACCATGATGCAGAAAAGAAGCAGAGTCTGAGAGAGCAAAGCTGGCTCTAGATAGATATGTTTGTCTGGCTTCAGTTCTGGGTTCGCTGTGTGGCAGCCATGTGTTTCAGAACTAGCTACTCAGAGCCTCAGCTTCTTCATTGTAATATGAGGACAATACCAGTAGCTATATCATAGAGATGTTTAGAGATTAAATAGATATCATCATGCTTAGAGCAGCATCTGGAACACAGTAGTGCTGTTTGGCAATCCTAAGCTACCGGCTATCCAGCTACCCTGTTGACCCGTCATCTCTCAGGCCAAACAGTCTCCAGGTTGTGGGAGCAACTGTAACAATAGGCCTGGAATAAGGAAAAAGATATCCCATTGTAAGGTAGGTTAAGTAAGTAGGTTTCATTAGGTAGCCGATGAAGAGAACACCAGGTGCTCTTCAGGCAGGAAAAGTTTACTTACCAAACTGCTGTCCCCACCATGCATGGTGGAGAGGCATGGCCAAAAGGGAAGACCCACA